GACAAAGCCGAGTTACTACAGGATGTTGAACCGTTAGACTTCACTGGAGAAGAACCGCTGGAAACAGATAACAGGAGGTCTGTATTATTATATCTATAAAATAATTGCATTACTGTCAGTTAATATTATTTAATTTTTATTTTGTTCTTTAATTCATACGAGTCTTCTTACTCAAGCACAAGAGAAAGAGAGGATGGTGCCAACAGTTTAGTTTTTTTTTTTTTTCTTAAAATTTGAATTACATCATATTTACACACGTGTGTGTATATATATATATATATATATATATGCACTCTTTTAATATTTACTGCATAGTTAATTAACACAGGTAAATACATTTTGTGATGAATTAGTTATGTGTAAATACAGTAGACGTTTCTTCAGACATTACTGATCCAGTGTTAACTGACGATAAATATTGCATTTACATGTATTTACTTACCAGAAGCTACCTGTATATAAAAATGATTAAGGAATAAGTTAAAGGGAACACAATATGTCAATATGGTCTCTAAATGTAAATGTCAAAGTGAACACAATGGGTTGTATTAGCAGCACTTTAAAGTTTAAAAATACAACTTCCAACCAATCTCCATTACTTTTTAATCAATTTTAAAATACAAAAAAACAGCTTTGATAAGAGGTCTTGTTTTCTGAGGAATAGATCAAAATGAATTTATTAAAGTTCACATATCCGCCAATGGGCTCAGAAAAATTAGCTTAATTCAAAAGGTAAAACAAGTCCTAGCTTATTGACAGATATTTGTTTTCATTTCCTCAATACCTCAAATAAAAATTCCTGAGATCTTAATTATATTTCTGTGTACAACGGAGTGAGACAAAAAAAAAGGTCTTGACATTCAATGCTACTCAGTGACAGATTTGGCAGGTCACACCAACCATAACTGAGAGTTTGAACTGAAGAAAAAGGATACAGGTCTGTCTTCTGTTTTTTTTTGGCATTTTTTCTTCTTGGTTCAAAAAAAAAAAATGAAGATAAATCACTAACTTAGACAAACACTGGCAAAATAATCAGTAGATAATATTGCAAATTTAAAAAAAAAACTTTAGAAGTAGAAAGAGCAGAGATCATTTTTATGGTAAGGACCATAAAACCACACACTACTTAAAAACAGTAAGTCAAATACAGATAAATATGGGGGGGGAATAGACATGAATAGGCATGTATAGGTAAAGTTTAATTTTTTTTTACCAGTGAGCTTTTAGGTTTCAGGCTATTTTTAGCCAAACTTTGTACAAAGATGATTCTCAACTATGTTATGAAAGCTATAACAGAATGATTTGATATACTACTGTACTTTATGGTATATGTGTGTAAAATGTCCATGGTATTCCCATTCTATACAATGTATCTATACACTGCATCTAATTTGCATAATAATGTGTTCTTGGGGCAAACCATAATGAGAAAACAAGTGTAATAATGAGAGTAATAACTTAGCAACAGCATATCTCATATTTCATAGGAATATTGATCTATAATTTCTTTCCCTATTGACTTGTGTTTCCCCAAAATCCCTGATTAACATGCCGTTTGTCCTGGTGTCCTCTACAGAAGACATGGATGAAAATATGCCCTGTTTCATAACAAAAAGCCATATTCCGATTTGAAACCCCATCACATTTTTCTGAGATGTTTATTTATGACAAACAATTTTGCTACTAACATGTTGAAGGATGATTTGAGCTTTTTTCGGGGGGGGGGATGACACACACATCTGTAGCAGCTGTTTTAATTCTTTTCTGTTTTGTGTTCTTGTTTGTTTTCATTTCCTCAATACCTCAAATAAAAATTCCTGAGATCTTAATTATATTTCTGTGTACAACGGAGTGAGACAAAAAAAAAGGTCTTGACATTCAATGCTACTCAGTGACAGATTTGGCAGGTCACACCAACCATAACTGAGAGTTTGAACTGAAGAAAAAGGATACAGGTCTGTCTTCTGTTTTTTTTTGGCATTTTTTCTTCTTGGTTCAAAAAAAAAAAATGAAGATAAATCACTAACTTAGACAAACACTGGCAAAATAATCAGTAGATAATATTGCAAATTTAAAAAAAAAACTTTAGAAGTAGAAAGAGCAGAGATCATTTTTATGGTATGGACCATAAAACCACACACTACTTAAAAACAGTAAGTCAAATACAGAAAAATATGATGTATGCAATGTAGAACATTTAAACGTTGAAAGACATGAAGTGAAAGTGTTATTAAAACTGGAGGGAAAATTAAGGTTAGCCTACTAAACTGATATAAAGTTAAATAAATAGCTAAATAATATGTGTTTACTTTTCGAAAAGAAACCGGACGACAGGAGACTGTAATATCCTGCTGAAAACCAGAAAAAAACAATTGGTTGGAGCATAAGAAACAAATGTAGAGAAATCATTTTTGAAAAAAATATATTTTATTCTATGTCCTTTGTAGAGGACGCCAGGACTTAGTTATTGAAAAAAAAAATAGACATGTATAGGCAAAAACAATGTTTTATTTTTTTTACCAGTGAGTTTTTAGGTTTTGGGCTATTTTTAGCCAAATTTTGTACAAAGATGATTCTCAACTATGTTATGAAAGCTATAACAGAATGATTTGATATACTACTGTACTTTATGGTATATGTGTGTAAAATGTCCATGGTATTCCCATTCTATACAATGTATCTATACACTGCATCTAATTTGCATAATAATGTGTTCTTGGGGCAAACCATAATGAGAAAACAAGTGTAATAATGAGAGTAATAACGTAGCAACAGAATATCTCATATTTCATAGGAATATTGATCTATAATTTCTTTCCCTATTGACTTGTTGTGTTCCCCAAAATCCCTGATTAACGTGCCGTTTGTCCTGGTGTCCTCTACAGAAGACATGGATGAAAATATGCCCTGTTTCATAACAAAAAGCCATATTCCGATTTGAAACCCCATCACATTTTTCTGAGATGTTTATTTACGACAAACAATTTGAAAATTAGCCAGATTTAAATGATAATTACAAAACATTATCATATTTCCCTAAGAGTGCTAGATTTGATCATTCTGTCAATGTCAGTCATATTTAAAGACCAAGGAGAGGGAGTGTTTATGATCAAACCTCC